GGCGGGTTGTGGGGGGGGGGGGGGGGGGGGGGCCATGGCAGACTCAATGGGCCAAATGGCCTTTTTCCACACTATAAGGATTCTATGATCCTACGCTGCATTCTCTTAAATTGGTGACTGGGAATTGAGTGCTTTAGAGGTTAGGGGTCTTCATGGAGGTCACAATACATCTGGGCCTGTACATGACACCAGATTCACACTGACACAGATGACTTAACTACACTCTGAAAATGGCGAAGCAGGATACTCAGTTCCCAACTTACCAGCATAACTCAAGAGGAATAAATGTCAGCCTTGTCAGCAATGCCCACAACCACAGAATGGAGGTGTTGAGCCAGGTGGTGGCTACCAGAATTAAGGACTCAGTTAAAACGAAAGCTTCTTCATTTAGGGATCACATTAAAATATGGGAAGAATTTTTAAGACACGCAGTCAGTAATCAATATGAAATAAGGCACACAAGAGCTGCTAGGAAATGTGAATGATGTGAAGACATCAGAAGTTGACAGAATAGGATAGAGGATGTCCCCCACTAGACCTCACCTTGGATTGGTTGTTCTTCAGTCTGTGCGCTTCATCTACCACTAGACAGGCCCATTTAATGGAGCTCAGTGCTGCCTGGTCAATGGTAACCAACTCATAGGAGGTCAACAAAACATGGAACTTCACTTGTGCCTGACTCTACAAAAAAAATAAAACATTAGTTAGAACAGCTTAGGATAGACAGGATAACTTTCTCTCAAACCTGCTCCTTTTCCAGTTTAAGATTCTTTTCAGGTTACACCCCAGTGAGACAGCTTACAACCCAATGTCAAATGATCCCAAGTAAATCTCCAGTGTAGGCACAGGGCCCTACAGTCACTGGACACACGAATTCAATATCAGTACCTAGCCCTGGGCCATCCAGCCCTCAAAATTTCTAAATGTTGAAGGCTTACCCTGATTTTGACAGCTCGCTTGCTGACTTTGACTGCATTGTCATCAAAACAAAACTCGTTTTCCCGGATGACAGCACGGCTGTCTTTGTCTCCAGTGTATGTCACCACATAGAAATCTGGTGCCCACATCTCAAACTCACGCTCCCAGTTTATGATGGTAGACAAAGGAGCACTGACCAGGAAGGGGCCACTTGAATGTCCCTGAGGAGACAAAAGATGATCAATTGTACTAATAAACAGCTTGCATTTATACAGCACAATTACGAGTAACAGTGGCCAACTGCCAGGGCTGCTTGCTGGAAAGAGACAAATCAACTGGGAGGAATTCTAAGCTCAGAGCCCAAGCATGGTAATCAATGGTCGAATGACAGAAACAGGACAAGGCCAGGATTCAAGGAGCAGAGAGATATCAGAGAGTCAAGGACTGTGGCACAGAATTGGAAGAGATCATAGGGGGAGGGGATGACAAGGCCGAGGAAGGATTTGGTTCTCTATTTAAGGTGTTAACAGATCAGGAGCCAATGCCAGTTAGCAAGCTGATTGGCAAAAGGAACTGGGTGTGAAATAGGATATGGGGCAGAATTTTGGATTAGCTGAAAACTTTGCAGACGGTAGATGACAGGATGCCTGAAGACAGGCTAAACAATTTCAAACCCATTCTTTTCCAGTGGGAAGCAGAAAGAAGCTGTCTGACAAGTATCCTACTGCATCCACACCATCACTTCTGGAATTCACACTAGACTGACATGTCATTTACAATTTAAAAGCTAGATTTTATAAACAGATGTAGAATTGTGGGCAAGTGTAATTCTGGGCTACTGACTTGCTATCCCTATTTTACATGAAGTAGATATTCAGTTTTCTGCAATGGAGATGCAGTGATCCCATAGGAGGTCATTTCAAAGCCAAATCCCCACAACCCTGAGAAGCAAGGGAACAATCCAATCATACTCAAATGTAAGACTAATCAATCCAGTTGGCACGTTGGGCAAAACCCGGAATGCTCAATGGAGACAGCGTAGGAAAATTCACCATTTCCCAACAAGGGACTGGAATTCCCGAGAGCCCAGCAACGTGAAAATTTCCTGCAGTAACCAGCAACTAAACTCTAAATGACCTCCGCAATAACTTAAAATTATATAGCCAAATTATATATGAAAAACTCCTTAAGGAACCATCAGACAAAGTTTGATGCTCAGACCGAGGGTTCTCAGGACCAGCTGAACTGCAAGTTTCAAAATGAAGTGGTCAAGTGTGAATCTAAAGAGATAGGAAAATAGCACAGTGGTAATTCACTGGGCTAGCATTCCACAGGACCAAGCTAATGGTCTGGGGACACCAGTCAAACCCCACCATGGGAGTCAATTAATAAATCTGGGATGTAAAAGGTAGTCTCAAACATTGACCATAAAATTATCAACTGTCTTAAAAATCCATCTGGTCATTATTGATGACATTTAGACAAAACGGATTTCCTCTCCATCTGGTTTCACTGGAAAGATGGCAGCTGAGAGGAGACCTGATAGAGAGGTCTACAAAATTATGAGAGGCATAGATAGGGTGGATAGTCAGAGGTTTTCTCCCCAGGGTTGAAATTTCAATTACAAGGGGGCACAGGTTCAAAGGTCAGAGGGGGAAAGTTTAAGGGAGATGGGCAAGGGAAGTTTTTCCACGCAGAGTGGTAGCAGCCTGGAATGCACTACCAGAAGAGGTGGTGGAAGCAGGCACAGTGATGACATTTAAGAGGCACCTAGATGGGTACATGAATAGGGAGGAAATATGGGATACGGATCGAAAAATGGCAGGTTTATTTTTGGATTAATTAGGGGATGATAGTCAGCACAGGCTTGGAGGGTTGAAGGGCCTGTTCTCCGGTGCTGTAATTTTTAAATTTGTTTATTTGGTCTACTTGTGACTCCAGACCCCCCAATAATGTGACTACTCTCACCTGCCCTCCAAAATGACCTGGCAACCCACTTGTTCAAAGGAAATTGTGGATGGACAACAAATGCTGGCCTTACCCAGTAATGTCCGTGGTGCATGAGAACATAAAATTGTAAAAAGCTGTTAATCTCACAATTGCAACGCAGGTACCTCTCTAATACCTTGCCAGCTCAAAACACTAACTCCAAGTACAAATACAATTCTGGGGATGCTGGCATCCTTAGTTCCCAACAGGAAAGCGGTGGCAATGGAGTAGTTCACAGGTCCACATCGGTAAGAGGTTGAAAAGTCAACCACATCAGAATGAGGCTGGACTTGTACAGGTCCAGATGACAAAGATTTTTGTTTTGCTCCCTAAAAGGAGATTAGTGAAAGATCACATGTTCTTCCCTCTACAGCTTTGCAGTTACTGGTCTTTGATGATTCTTTTAAGATACTTCTCCAAATGATTAGTACAAGTCTCTGTACAGCAGGTTCACGCCTCTCAAAATACATTACCACATTCCTACTCCTGCCACAACATAGTCAGGACTTACTGAGTTTAAGTTGCATTTTACCTCTTTGTACAGAGAGTACAAGAAGACAATGGTCTGGATGGTCTTTCCTAGCCCCATCTCATCAGCTAGGATGGTGTCAGTGCCCTGCGCCCAGGAGAAGCGCAGCCAGTTTAGTCCCTCCAGCTGGTACATGTGCAAAGTTCCACCAGTGACTGTGATGAAGTCTGGCTGTACTTCGTATTTAATTGTTGGCTGCAGAGAAAAAGACAAAGACAAAAAGAAAGGAGAAACAAATGACGCAACCTTCAGATTAAAAAAAAAACCAGAGCTGGAATGACAAATGGCTTTTGTTGGAAGGTGAAGCTAACAAAATAAAAATGGTCAGAAATGTGCCTTTTAGAAATAATTAATTTATAACTTTCATAACCTCAGAAATCCCAAAATGCTTTTACAGTCAATGAATTATTTTTGAAGCATGACCACTGCTACAACTCCAAGGCGAGTTAGACAGCTTCTTCCAAACCCACAAACACTTCCCAATTATCTGCTGCCCTTCTCTTTCTAAATGGAACACCAGGCCCTGCAAGTTCCTCTCCAAACTACTCACCATCCTAATTTGAAACTATATCACCATTCCTTCAGCCATTGAGTCAAAATCCTAGGATTCTGTTCCTAACAGTAATGTGGGTACGCCTACACTAAAAAGCTGTTAATCTCACAAGTTGAAGTTTCAACTACAAGGGGGCACAGGTTCAAGGTCAGAGGGGGAAAGTTTAAGGGAGATGTGCAAGGGAAGTTTTTCCATGCAGAGAGTGGTAGCAGCCTGGAGAGAGAGAGAGAAAGAGAGGGAGACTTGTACTAATATCATTTGGAGAAGTATCTTAAAAGAATCAAAGATCAGTAACTGCAAGGCTGTAGAGAGAAGAAAATGTGATCTTTCACTAATGTCCTTTTAGGGAGCAAAACAAAAATCTTTGTTTAGCAGCCTGGAATGCACTACCAGAAGAGGAGGTGGTGGAAGTGGAAGTGCCACCACCTTCAAGGGCAATTAGAGATGGCCAAACAAAAAGCTGGTCCAGCCAGAGATGCACTTATCCACTAAGGTGAAAATAAAACAGAAATACAGTGCAGTCAATTTTTGCAAGCAAGATCTCAAACAGCAATGAAGGACCAGGTTCATATTTTGCTAGTGTTGTTGAAAAGATCCATTTTGGCAGGACACTGGGAAAACTTCTTACTCTCTAAAATATCTAAAATAATCTTATGCTCCAAGAGGATGATTGCAGCCTCTATTTAACACAGAGTACAACTTCCTCAGTACAACACTAGAAGCAGTGTAGTTTGTTTTTGTGCTCAAGTCTTTGCAGTGAAACTCGAATCAACAACCTACTGAGGAACATGCCAGCCCAAGTGGTCAGGAAATAAGAAAAAAATTAGGGAAATTGGATTGTTGTGGCTTGCTGAGAATGTGATCATAATGGCATTTAAGAATGTGAACAAGAATTGACAGAAGTTGACAGAAAAATTTTAAGAACAACTTTGGGGAGTCCTACTTCAAATACCAAATCATAAAATAACAAGTGAATGGTAAAAGTCACAGTTAAGGTGGACCTCAATTATCAGGGAAGGCCACTAAATCCAGTAGCAAGATGGACTGAAAAGACATTTGTGTGTAGTTCTGAAAATAAGAGGGGAATACAATATGGTGAATACAGAAGGCTCAGTTCATCTGCTGGCACGTTGCCTTGGAAACAGAAGCTACAAACACAAACCTCAAGTCTGACAGTGCAGTACTGGTACCAGACTTAAGATATTCAGCTGTTACATTATAGTGCCACACAACTCCAAAGAGTGCAGGATAATCCCCAACATTGCCATCAAGTGGCAAAAACACTTTTCTCCCCCCTCCCCCCTTTAGAAGGGAGTGAAGATTCTTCTACAATTCTTATACTTATTACACATGACCTCATCTATCACATTGAAATAAAGCGAGCTGCAAAATCTTTTACAACTCAAATCACAACAGCTGGAAGAGACCAGCCAGTTTATCTGATCAGTCTCTTATATACCACATACAGCCAAGGATTGCTTCAGTTTCTTCATTTAACGTATTATTGTTATACTCTTCTCTCCACTCGCTCTGTGCAGTCATTGATTGGTTAGTCACCTTTGAACTTTGAATGTGTATCCCACACACTGAAGGAAGATTATTGGGATCAAGTTTCTTTACTGCTTAAAATTGTAACAATTCACTATGGTCACCCCTCAACCTTTTACATCCCAATACACTGCTCCGTGTCACTGCAAATTCTAACTTATAATTAAACAGAGGTAGAATGGTTACCCCTTTCTACCCTCTGTTCTCAAAAGGTTTAAATCACAAGCCCAGCCCAGGCTACAGACACTGGACAGTTCCATGCCTCCATGCCCCACTCACCTCTATTGCAGGCGAGCCAGGAGGCTTGTCAGCCAAGAACTCCTTGATTTTCTTGAACTTCTTTGTTTTCTTGGGCCTGGTGGGATCCTCCCCAATGATCATCTCCCTGCAGCAGAAACAGCATGAGGTTAAAGCTGAATGTCAGCAGCCATCTCACACTCATCGGGCGAGTACATTGAGCTTTCTGTGCTGGTAAACAACTGGCAACATTTAACTTCACAAAAACAGAAGCAGATCATATGCTCTCATGCCTGCTCTACCATTTGATAATAACAAGGCTGATCTTAGCCTCACTTTCTCAACTTTTCATATCACCCCCATTCTCTCAATATCTAAAATCCAGCCTTAAACATATTCAAATGACCGACTGCCCACATCTCTGTCTCTCAATGACAAGAAATTTCTAAGTATGGCAATAACTGAAGCCGCAACACTGACTCCTGCAGATTTCTCACAGGTAACAGTTTGCCATATGAAAATGACAATGACAAACTCCTGTCCTCACTGACCTGTGATTCCAGTATGCAACTTTGAGCGAATCGTAATCCGGGATTTCCAGCTCATCCTTCTCCCAAGTGGCCTGGTCGTATGGCAGATCTCTCCACTTCACCAAGTAGTGGTAGTTTCCCTTCCTGTCGATACTGCAAAAAGGAACGCCATGGAAGCTGAGTGGAGACGTTTGGGAAGAGGACACTGGCACAAGCAGGACACTGCCAATCACTCAACCCCACAACTAACTCATGCACAACTCAACAGGGCAAGCGCAAAAAACAAACAAACAAACCAAGCAGAGGCCATTGGATCAGATGGCAGTTCTTGGCCAACACCCAAAATGGATAATGGACAGGATCACAACTAAAAAAAGAGATTAAAATTAAATCAGAAACTATTAAACTATCACCTCCGCGCCAAGAATAAAAGGCAGCTCAAACTTTATTAAATAAAAGTTTGTGCTTTAACGTGTTTGAGCAAACTACTCTGATCTGGTCAACAGAAAGCATGATTGTGACTGCACTCAGCCAGGTTAGGGTGGGAATTTTCTGCCTATGGAAGAGTTCAAAACTAGGGTTAGAATACAAGACACTGCCTAAAATGCCACAAGGAAATTCTTCATTCAGGAAGTGACGAGAATGCGTACCACATTACCACCGTCGTAGCTGAGACAACCATCAGTTTATATTTAAAGAAATGGGAGGTAAATAAGTGCATAAGGAAAAAGGAAGACACAGGAGCAAGCCAAAACCTTACAATAAATTAGGTCAGGGCCGACCTGTATCTTAACTGCATACATCTTACTTGTTAAATCTTAACTATACCGATTTAAACACCATGATTAGATCGTCTATACTCAAACGAATATAAATGCTGTCAAATGAGACCTTTTGTGGTGTGGTGCTGATAATCCCACCTCAGAGACACGAAAGCCAGGTTCAAGTCCCACCTGTTCCAGATGTGTATCACAACACTTCTGAACAGCTTGATCAGAAAGATTACAAATGCAGTTGAAGAGACTTACATAAAAAGATTAGGAGAGCAAGAATACGAGCATGGAACAGTTGGGCAGAATGGATTGTTTGTGTCATGCATTCTACTTCTATAATTGGAATCAGTGGACCTTCATGTCCCCTAAAAACGCTTTGGGTTTTGGGAGTCACTTAAACTTTTCATGTCTACTAGTGATACGGTCTATGCTCAGAAGTGATGTTCAGAGTTCAGAATCACGATGATAAATAGACATTAGTCACAGGTCACAATGAATGGTGGATAAAGCTGGAGGGTCTGAAGGGCACCCCACCCCTGATACTAGAGACAAACTGATGATTCTTCACTGGCAGCTGTCCAACCTGTGCTGCAGGATACGATGGATGGTCATCCACTCAGACTTTATCCCATAGCGGTAAAACTTCTCCTCCATTGCAGCATACTGAGGGTCCTGGGCTTTTCTCTTTTCACTCTTGCTGTCATCATCCCCAGAACAGTAATCAAACGGAGGTGGCTCGTCCATGTCAGTCTTTCGCTGGTAATTCCGGAACATCACCGAGTGATAAATCTCCAGCTGTGGGAAGCCAGCAAAGCCATGAGTTACACCAACTGTGAATAATTTGCAGAGCAGAGATACTGAGTAACTTAAATCTTCACCATGCACGTATTAATCCAGGAACTTGAAAATAATTCCCAGCACACATTCACACTGGATCACTTCTCAGAATCCCTGCAGTGTGGATGCAGGCCGTTCAGCCCATCGAGTCCACATCAACTCTCTAGACAGCATCTCATCCAGATCCACCCCCCTACCCTACCCCCGTAACATCGCATTTCCTATAGCTAATCCACCTTGTCTGCACATCCCTGTCACTATGGCCAATTTAGCATGACCAATCCATTTAACATGCACATCTCTTGACTGTGGGAGGAAACACACACCTGGAGGAAACCCACACAGAAATGGTGAGTTTGCGCAGACTCCACACAGACAGTCGCCCGAGGGTGGAACTGAACCTGGGTCCCTGGCCACGAGACAGAGCTAACCACTGAGCCACTTCTGGGATCCCAATCTGCGCTAGACCCTCTTGGGAGTGTTTGATGAGGATAAAGAGAAAGTTTTACTCTGTAACTAACCTTATTCTGTTTCTCCCCCACATTTCTGACTGATACACGGAACAGGAAAAACTACCAATTCTCACCTGCAGCTCAGTGACCCAGGAGCAGTGCCAATACGATAAGCCAGCCCACTTAACGAAAAACTCCCGTTCAGGGCGCCCGTGCAGTGGTTTCGGTGGGGAATCCTCAGGATTGGCATCAGGTGGTCTGGGCACAGGGACTGGTATTGGCGGTTCACCCCACCTCCAATGAAGAATCTTCTGGACTCTGCCTTTCAACGGAGGACACTGAAGGGAGAAAACATTAAGGAAGAGGGTGAAATACTTACTGTTACACAGCAGAAAGGCTGAAAGACTTACATTGCTTTGCGACTTCCACAACCAGATTACAGCAAATGAAATACTTTTGAAGTGGTGTCACAGTTACAATATATGCAATGAGGCAATTTGCACAGCGATCACAGACACAGGAAAAACCAAGTTATCCGTTTTATGAATATAGGTCCAGGCATTGGGTGGGTTACATATGCAGATCCAGATCCAGATTTACATTTGATGTCTTTTGAGGGATAGATTGGAAGGGAGGGTTTAGATTTTTGGGACACTGGAATCACTTTTGGGAAAGAAAAAAGGCTGTTCAGATGAGATGGGCTTCACCGGAACAGATATGGAATTAATCTGAAATGTAAACAAATGTAGTGGGGGTGGAGTTAAACTTGTAAAGCAGTGGGGTGGGCAGACTAATTGTCCTAGTTTTGGAACTAACAACGAGGGCAAAGAGAGATGATCGTGAAAGGGGAAAAGGTATGAGGGCTGATAATGAACAAATAAATGGTTGCCTTCCATTGGGCACGAAAGGGATAAGGGCAGGGTTAAATTGTCTGCATAAATGCAGAGTATCATGAACAAAACTAGAAGGAGAATTTGCTCTAGGGGATATGACACAGTGGCAAAGAACAGGGCTCAAGCCAGAACAGGACTGGATATTTCACATCCAGGGTTAAGGCTTTTAAAAGAAACAGGGTGTGTTTTTAAAAAAAAAAGAAAGTGGTGGTATAGCAATCTTGGTCATGGATATATAAAATTGTCCTTGAATGAAATGCAGTTCCTGGATTAGAATCTGGATGGTTGGAGGTGAGAAACCGGAAGCGAGTGGTAACCTTATCGGGTACTTGTTATAGACCTCCAAAATGGCGAGCAGGAAGAAGAGCAGGTGGGCAGATTATGGAAATCTGCAGGACAAGTACATTTGTGATAGTTGGCAATTTCAACTGCCCTAGGGTAGACTGGGAAAAAGGAGAAAAATCCCTGCAATGTGTGCAGAACTTTGTGGATCAGTACATTTCTAGTCCTACCAGGGAAGGAGTAGCACTGGATCTAGGAAATGAGGCCTGCCAAAAAAGAGAACATCACGGTGGGGAAGCATTTGGGAAATACTGAACATACTATTAAAAAAGTTCAATATTAAACTGGAAAAGGATTAAAAATTTTCAAAACTTCAATAATTAAGATTCCAAACTGGAAAAGGGCAGATTTTAGGCGCCTAAAAACTTTATTGAAAATGCATTTTGTGGATAAAACAGTGAGTGAGAAATGGGAGAAATTCAAAAGAGACATGAATAGAATGCAAGCTAAGTACATATCCTTGAGAAATAAATGTGGGGTATCCAAAGCTAGAATGCCCAGCTTGAATAAGGATATTGAAGAAGAAAAAAAAGGAGGCATATGATGCACACCAAAATAATAAATCACAACAGAAATCAGGAAGAGCATCTCAAATACAGAAGAGAGGCAATGCCTGGAATGAGGAATAAAAGGAAGCATGAGGAATAAAAGGAAGCATGAGGAAAGGACATGTTAAAACAAGTACTCTTCAAACATGAATCAGAGATAGTACGAACTGCAGATGCTAGAGAATCTGAGATAACAAGGTGCAGAGCTGAATGAACACAGCAGGCCAAGCAGCACCATAGGAGCAGAAAGGCTGACGTTTCGGGCCTAGACCCTTCATCAGAAATGGGGGAGGGGAAGGGGGTTCTGAAATAAATAGGGAGAGAGGGGGAGGCGGATGGAAGATGGATAGAGAGGATAGGTGGAGAGGAAACAGACCAGGTCGAAGAGGCGGGGATGGAGCCAGTAAAAGGTGAGTGTAGGTGGGGAGTTAGGGAGGGGATAGGTCAGTCCAAGGGGGCGGGATGAGGTTAGTAGGTAGGGGGATGGGGGTGCGGCTTGAGGTGGGAGGAGGGGACGAGCTGGGCTGGTTTTGGGATGCACCTTGCTGGATTAGTAGGGTCAGTGAGTGTCACTGCGTTCTAATTACTCCATGCACTCAAACAGTTTGAAGAGGGAACAATAGCCAAGATAGATATTTTCCACACTTGACCAACATTCACATTACTAGCTGGGATGGGCACTGGATGGTGTCAGGAATCCGGATTCTGATAAAATCTTGGAAAGCCCCTGGCCAAAACACATGTGCACACAATATAGATGTCACTGCAGAAGCAGCTGCCAGGTTGACAAGTTAACCACTGAACTCCCTGAAAAGGTCAGCTTTTGGCCAGGGTCAGGGGCTGGATTTCACCTATCTTTAGAGCTATTCCAAAACTGGTCTGGAAAATAAGTACCACCAGAAGGTGAATGCAGAAGGCTTTTCACAGGGACAGTAGGGCACCATCATTCTGAAGCCAGCTCCAAGTCAGCACCAATACATCAAACTCTAGGAGCTCCCACCCACCCAGTAGTACAGTTTAATTGTGTTCTCTATCACCTCATAAGCCTGTCAACAATGTTCAGATCCCAAAAATGTTTAATAGAAATGGCTGTAACTATGCCCCACACAAGCTCCCCCTTCACCCTTAAGTAAACATTGCACTAAATGAGGAAGGCACTCACTGTACAGCGGGGGCACAGCCATTCGCCATTGGGAATTTCTGGAAGTGGTGGATTGAGACAGTGAATATGGTAGGAGGACGGACAGGCGTCACAGCACAGTAGCTCCCCACCGTCTTTACAGACTCGACAGTACTCCATATGATCATCCTCTTCCTCCCGCTCGCCTCCTAACTCCACCTCCTCGTCTTCATCCTCCTCTTCTTCTTCCTCATCCTTTGCCTCCCACTGAATACCTTCTTTTTCCTAAGGAAAGACAACAACAGGAAATGAGAACAAATTAGAGCTTCCATATTTTTGGACGTATACCTTCTATGTAACATACGGAAAATAGGAGCTGAGGTCCACTGTTAAATAACTGCACACTGACTTAAAACTAGGACTGGAGAATCCACCAAAATGTAGCAAGTGGCTGAAAGGAATTTTGCACACGCAAATTAGCCTGATGTCACTGCACTATTGGAACAGTTAGCCTGATTTCCAATCAGGAGTCAAGATTAAAACTACAAAAGCCATCACAGACTTTAATTCACTGGCAGGTTGTTCCCATATTCTCAAATTTTTCAATTTGGGTTTTTTTGGGAGGGTGGGGCTATCCTGACAGCATCACAATTAGCGATGGGAAAATGATAACTTGATTGAATTTTGAGGACAAAAGGTGATCAATGACAGTAGATCAGTAGATGTTGTCTACATGGACTTTAGTAAGGCTTTTGACAAGATCCCTCATGGTAGGCTCATCCAGAAGATTAAGATGCACGGGGTCCATGGTGATGTGGCTACGTGGATTTAGACTGACTTGCCTATAGAAGTCAGAGGGTAGTGGTGGAAGGTTGTTTTTTCTGTCTAGAGGTCCTTGACTGACAATGTTCCGCAGGGATCCATACTGAGACTGCTGTTGTTTCTGAAATATATAAATTACTTAGATGAATGTAGATAGGTGGGTTAGTAAGTTTGCAGACAATGCAAACATCAGTGGAGTTGTAGATAGTATAGAAGGTTGTCAAAAGGATACGGTGGGATATAGATTAGTTGAGGTTATGGGCAGAAAAATGGCAGATGGAGTTTAATCTGGCTAAGTATGAAATACTGCACTTTGGGAAATCAAATGTTAAGGAAAAGTATACAGTTAACGGCAGGACCCTAAACAGCATTGATGTACAGAGAGATCTTGGGGTTCAACCCACAGCTCCCTGAAAGTAGCCATGCAAATAGATAAGGTGATAAAGACGTTGTTTGGCATACTTGCCTTTATTGGTCGGGGAATTGAGTTCAAGAGTCAGGATGTCATGTTGCAGCTTTATAAGACTTTGGTTAGGCTGCACTTAAGAGTACTGCATTCAATTTTGGTCACCACATTACAGGAAGGATATGGAAGCTTTGGAGAGGGTGCAGAAGAGGTTTACTAGGATGCTGTCTGGATTAGAGGGTATGAGCTATAAAAGGGGAGGCTAGAAAAACTCAGGTTGTAGTCGATAAAATTGTGAGATGTCTAGATAGACTCTGATTGCCACACACCCCCCACCCCAAAAGAGTTGAAATGTCTAATACTAGGGGGCATGCATTTAAAGTGAGAGAGGCCAAGTTCAAAAGGAGATGTTAGGGGCAAGTTTCTTCTTTTTTAAAAAGATGATATGGTAAGGATCTGGAACGCACTGCAGGGGTGTTGGTGGAGGCAGATACAATTGAGGCGTTTAAGGGGCTTTTAGATAAGCACATGAATACTCAAGAATGGTGGGATAGGGACCAAGAGCAGGCAGAAGGGATTAGCTTAATTTAGCATCATGTTCAGCACAACATCATGGGCCGAAGTTCCCAAGCCTGTGCTGTACAGTTCTAAAGCAGACCCAGCTTATTTTGCAGCATTGTGGAGTCTGTGGATCATGCATATATATGTTGTGGGCAATTACACCTCTTTTGTCATTGTTTGAAAAATCTTTCGTTGCGTTTTTGGTTGCACTTTAGCCATTACTCTCCTGATCTTTGGGCATCCAGTGGGGAGGGGTGTGGGCGGATCACAGGACCTCCTCATGCACCTGGTCCTGGGTTTGGCCAGACTGGCTCTAAACAAGTACAGGCAGAGGGCTGGGGAGGGTTGGGGCATTCATATCTGACTGTCAGGTCCTCTTTCATGGAGAAGTTTCTGCCCTGGTGTCCTTGAAGAGGGAGCACAGCGTCCATCAATGCTCATAATATCTTGAGTGAGAGGTGGGCATTGCAAGGGAATCATTGCTTTACCTTCCCTTCCAACTCCATTTTGATTTGAGCTTTGGGTTCAAGTCTCACATGCTCCAGAAGCATGTCATAACATCTCTAAACAGGCAGATTAGAAAATATTCCCCAACCGGGGAATGTGGTACTTCATTTCCTCCTCCAACTGCAATATGATTTAGTCCCTTCCTGTTCTCCCTACTCCTCCCTCATCTTTGATGATTTGCATTGCCCATAGCAGACTGTGCATGTAAATATTTAATTAGCTGCATGGGTAGTGGTTGATAGTTAAAAGCAAAGGGATTTTGTGGTGGGAAAACAGTTCGGTTTTGTGTGGCAGAACTTCCAGATAAATAAGCAAAACAAAAAAAAAAAAAAAAAAGACCCAGGGATGGGTCTATTGGGACTAGCTTATGTACCCCACAAGTCGTAGCTCCATTTTGGTGTTCAACAATAAATGATTACCTTCCTGAGTTATTACAAGCCCCAACCTTGCCGGCATGGCAAACAAACTGTAGCAGACAATGCCCTGTCCGGTCCAGACCATTTATCACACAACAGGACTGTTGCTTATCTGTGACACTTAGTGGTATACTGTACACATTTGGCAGTGGGCTCACCAGGAGCAGCTAATTAATCACAGCTCATTTGAAAACACTGCAAGCAAAGTCCTACAACAGAAGCGCGAGTTATCTGGTTGCTCCCACCAAAACAGCACTCGTTCCCTTTCCAGTGTTCCCGATTCCCCTTTTGAAAGTTCCTATTGAATCTGCTTCCAGCTGTGCGCTCCAGATCACAACTTCATGCTAAATCATTCTCAGCATCTCTTGCCAATTCTCTCCAATTTCTATCAATCAGTCTGTTTACTGACTCTCTAGTCACTGAAAAACAATGCCTCATTTACCCCAACAAGCCCTTCATAATTTTGAAAGTCTCAAATGAATCTGTTCTTAATCTCTGCTTCATGGAGATCAATTCTAGTTTATCCTTTTAAACTGAAGTCCCTTATCCAGAGTTTTTTGTATCAGTATGTAAAAAGGCCCATCAAGCGCAGCGCTCAAAATGATTCTGGAGGAAGAAGCCAGACATGGTGGTAGTGGGAAACAGAAATCCCCTGGCCTGGATTAACTGCACCTCAAGGCTGCTGCGGGGTGCAAGGCAAAGAATTGTAAGGAGTCTGACACAAATTTTTAAATCTTCTCTGACCACGGGAGAAGTGCCACAGGGCTGATGGATGGCAAATGTCATTCCACATTTTGATAAAGGGTGGTAGAGATGAACCAGGGAAACTATTGGAAAAAAATTTGAAAGAGCAAATTAATACCCACTTGGAAAGGCATTGCTTACTTAGGGACAGTCAGCATGGCTTTGTCAGAGGGAGGTCACACCCAATAGATTTGTTAGAATTCTTTTGAAAATGTGATCAAGTGCTTGGACGAGGGGCATTCAGTTGATGTAATTTTTGTGGATTTTAGCAAAGCTTTGACAAGGTGCAAATGGGTGACTGATTGAGAAAGTTAAAGCACACGAAATTAGGGGAAACTTGGTGAGATGGATCAGAAACTGGTTTGCGTCTCATTAATAAAGGACAGTGCTTGAAAACTGTTTGAGTCACTTGGAGGCCAGATGTCCAGCAGTTTACCACAAGGATCAGTATTGAGACCCTTACGGTTTGTATTACACAAATGAAGTAGATGAAAATATGGGGAGGAATGTTAAGCAAATTTGCAGATGACACCAAGACTGGTAAAGTGGTTAACACTAAAGAGAATTGCAGGTTACAGGAAGATAGATGGGTTGGTCAGATGGGCAGACCAGTGGCAGATGGTATTAACTCTGCTAAGTGCATCACCTCACACTTTGGAAGAAGAAACAAGATTAGGGAGTATTTAATGCATGGCAGGACACTGGATAGTTTAGAAGAGCAGAAGGATCTTAGGTAATTATTCACAAGTTGTTGTCAGCATGCGAATAGGATAGTTAAAAAGATGTGATGGGGCAGGTGCTTTCATATCCACAGATCCCTGGAGATATGTCTACAGGAAATGTGTTTGGTTGAGAATCCTATTGGATCGCATGGGTTGATTGGAGCAGCAGTTAGAGGCAATGAGGAATTTACAGGAGCTAGGGCTGTGATGGATGGCAGTTGCAAGGAGGGAGATAAACTGCAGATACAGTCGGGCAGATGGGTGACCTCCAGGAAAAAAGGTAGGAGGGGCAGACAGGTAGTGCAGGAGTCTCCTGTGGCTATCCCCATCTCAAACAAGTATGTTTAGGAAAATGTAAATGCCCAGAAATTGATACACTAAAGCAGTGTTTTAGAAAGGGCTAGCAATAACCTCCCTACTTTTATACTCGAACCATGTGTATAAAACCAAAAGGTCTCAAGTGTCTTTTCCTAAAAAAAAAAACCTTCTCAACTTGAACGGCACCTTCATGCATTGTACAAATGTTAAATTGTCCTTTCAAATGGCACTGTTTAATTCAAACTAATTTCTTCACTTTGTGGTGGCTGCCAAACTGTCTTGTTCAGCAAGGCTGAGATTTACTAAATGACAAAGCTGTACTCACACAGTGGGGGCAACTCCACTTCCCTTCCGGTGCTTTGTCTAGCTCTGGATCCAGGCAAACCAAGTGGTAGGCTCTAGGACAGGTGTCACACAAGATGATCTCTCCTCCCTGCTGACAGACCTCGCAGTAATCCTGGTGATCAGTCTCATACCCGTCAGCCTCCTCTTCACCAGCAACTATAGACCAGCAGGTTAAAGGATGACAATTAAAATGTACATGAATGCAAGTATAGTCTTTCACAACCTCAGGACATCCCACTGTGGTTTAGAACCACTTGAATAACTTGATATGTAGTCACTTTACTATTTAGGAAACACAGCTCTGGATTTATGTATAGCAAATCCCACCGCCAGATATCTGTTTCAATATTTCCAATTGATAGAGAGATAAACATTGTCCCCAAGATACCTCAGAGAACTACCTGCTTGTCTTCACAACACAGTGACATGGAATATTTTTAGTCACCAGAGAAGGGACAGTATAACTACTGCCCTTATGTCACTCTCAACCATAATCCAACACTTACCCTTCCTCTTCTTACGGCCAACCTTAGCTTTCAGCTTTGCTTTTTTCAGGGGTGCAACAGAACTGTCAGATCGAATTGATGAGCTGTGCACACTGGCATCATCAAAATCTGACTCTGCATCCAAGTCTGCCTCATCACTCTGAAAAAGCACAAAAGCACTGCATGAAAATGACAGCTATGCAGTCTTGACAAAATTAAGCCTTACGTTAAGAGTCAGTGTATGGGAAGATAGCCATGATTGCATACAAAAGGTCTCCTTTGTTTTAGAATCAGTTTAACTGCAACACAACATTTGAAACTACAAGCAAAGCCCATCAGGAGGGATCTAAGACCTCACATATTAAGTAGATTGCAACAGGAAATCACAAGTCAACAGATTCCAGTTCAAAGGATTCTGCAGAACCCTTGAATAACCAAATTACGATCCCAAATGGTTCGTGCACATCTTTAACAATGCAAAATATGAAAGTGTCTTAAAAATGAAGACAACCACCAATACTACACAGACTTAAGACTTATAATGCAGTATCATACAGTGAAAAGCCTTCCAAACCAGGACTGTTCCCTAGTGTTATAGTGACAAATCAGACCCCACCAGTGTATAACTACCATTCTACTATCCTCTCTAGACCCTCCCAGTTGCGCATTCTTGACTGTAATGCAGGATAATTAGCGCAAAAGACCAATCATTTCACTAGTTCAAGTTGATGAGTAGACAGACTCACTTACCGAGGAGCTTTTCTTCCTCTTTGACCCCATTATACCCAGCTTAATTTTCAAGGGAATCATCTTCTTCCTCTTTTTTTTCTTTTCATCCGGAACCCTCGGGCTCTTGCTCCGTTTCTTCGCACCAGGACCTGCAACCACAAAAAAAAACCTATTTAAACTGGGGTGGCTGCTTCTCCTCCAACAAACTGGTTATTTGAGCTATCATTGTTTGTGGGAATTTGCACTGCACAAATTCCTGCATTTCCTACCTTACGAGAACAGGATGAGGTCCTGGTGAAAGGCAATACACACAATAGAGGGCTCAGAATCAGGCTATGCCGATGCCTATACTACATTTGAGCTTGGATCCATCTTTCCTCATCTGATTCTGTAACTGTATTCCCTTCACTCTAACAGACTTTTCTAGCCTCTCTCTCCTCATAGCCTTCTGCCTTAAAAATCTATGCCTCCTGGTCATTCATCCGTCTATTAATGGGAACATGCCTATTCATCCTATCTATGCCCCTCAATCTTATACACCTCTATTGGCTCAATCCTCCACCTACTTTGCTCCTAAAGGAAAATAACTACAGCCTATCCAATCACCAATCATTACTAATAGATCATACATTCTAGATTAATCCCTCAGGAAACATCCTGGCAACTCCTCTGCACTCCCTATACCGCAGTCACATTTTTTCCTATAGTGACCAGATAAAGCAAGCAGTGTTCCAGTCGTGACCTAACTGCCGTTTTGCACAGTTCCAGCATAAACGCCCCTACTCTTTTATTCTATGCCTCAGCTAATAAAGGCAAGTATTCCACATAACTTCTTAACCACTTTATCTACCAGAAATGCACAGATATGAACATGAAGGTCTCTCTCAGGGCCCTACCATTCAGTGCGTAACCTCTTGCCTTGTCAGCCCTCCCCAAGAGCATTACCTAACATTTTTCTGGGTTGAATGCCATTTGCTTATAACTTTGCCACACTGACCAGTTTGCGACGATCCAAAAGATTTTCAGGTCATCTGCAAACTTCTTCATCACAGGCCACTGCAATAAAGTTCAAACCATTACATACACCAAACAGCAAGGCCCCCAGCTCAGAGTGCTGCAAAATCCCACTGAAAACAAGACCTCCAGTCACAGAATCATCTCTTTACCATCATCTACTGCTTCCTGCCCCAGTTTTGGATCCATTGTGCCACTGATTTGTATCCCACAGGCTCAGTTTCTTGACCAGTCTGCCAAGAAGGACCTAATCAAAATGACCTCTATGTCATCTGTATGGGCTCTACCAAGTGCATTAGGCTCATAACATTCCTGATTACCTCCTCAAAAAAAAACCTCATTTAAATTTGTCAAGTATAATCTTCCCTTAACAAATCCGTGCCAACTATAACAGATTAACCAGTGTCTTTCCAACAGATGTATTCTGTTCTTCAGAATTCTATTAACTTCCCTACCACAGTTTGAAATGACTGGTCTGTAAATTTCTTGGTCTGTCCCTGCCTCCCATTTTTAATAAGGGCAATCTTAGCAACCCTTCAGCTGTGTGGCAACTCCTCCCAATGACCACAGAGGATCTGAAAATTACTGCCAGGATATCCAATATCTGCACCCACCCAGGATAAACAGAAATAGCCTGTTGATCCTTTCCCAATAGGTAAACCCACACAAATTTGGCATAATCTTTACAATTCTTCTCTGCACCCTCGCCAGTGTCTCTAAATCCTGTTTACAATATGGGAAACAAAACTGCATGGTCAAAAATAAAAGTTCAACACAGGCTTAGTATGGAAACCTTTTCTTTGTTTGGTGAGGTGGGGTGTTCTTGGGATAGGGAGGCAGACTCATTGTAACACTTCTAGTCAGAGCAGCCCACACAGGGTGGTCTTCTGTTGTAAAAAAGATATCATTCTGTATTTTTGACTGCAGATGGAAATGGAAAAACAGGACTGTTTTAAAATTGCAGGAGGAACCGTTGAAGTTTTGAATATGGTTACTGAGATTCATTGTGGATCATGTTTACACTGCTATTTTGGGAGTGTGGTTTGGTGGGGGGGGGGGGGGGGGAGAAGAGTGGCATCAAGGTGCATATTAAGAGGGAAACCCCTACGGATTGCCGAGTTGTGATGCGGAAGGGAACTAGCCTGACAATAACCCTATCTGATTGGCTGTAGGTAGCCGAACAGCTTGTGGGCAAGCACTGGCAGAAGCCTTCGGAACGCTGAAAAGGCAGATACTGAGCATCTCTGCAGGAAAATACCTAAAAGTCTGAACAAAGAACAATACAGGAACAGATCCTTCGGTCCATCAAGACCACAAAGACACATGATGCCTTTCTAAACGAAAAACCTTTCGCCTCTGTGCTGTCTGCATCCCTCTATTCCTATACGTATATAGCTATGTTAAACAGTAAAAGGGTGGCTAGGGAGAGAATAGGTCCCCTTAAAGATAAGCATGGCCATCTACATGTGGAGCCACAGGAGATGGGGGAGATTTTTAATGAATATTTCTCCTCAGTGTTTACTGAGGAAGGAATAATGATTGCTAAGGAAGGAATCATGGATGCTAAGGAAATAAGGGAAACAAGTGAGGATGTTTTGGACTGCAAACACATTGCCAGAGAGGTGTTTGCAGCCTTAAAGTGCATTAAGCCAGATAAATTCCCTGGGCCTGATCAAGTCCATCCTCGGATATTGCAGGAGGCTAGGGAAGAAACTGCAGAGGCCCTTGCAGATACGTTTGCTTCATCTTTAGCTACTGGAGAAGTTCCGGAAGACTGGAGGGTGGCTAATGTTGTTCCATTGTTTAAGAAAGGTAGCAAAGACAAGCCAGGGAACTTCAACCCAGTGAGCCTGACATCAGTGGTAGGCAAGTTATTGGACAGGTTACTGAGGACAGGATCAACCAACATTTGGATAGTCACGGTCTGATTAGGGATAGTCAGCATGGACTTGTGCATGGAAATTCATGTCGGACAAATCTTTCAGAGTTTTCCAAAAGGTAACCAAGAAGACGGGTGAGGGTAGGGCAGTGGATGTTGTCTATATCGATTTTAGTAAGGCTATTGACAAGTCCTGCACAGCAGACTAGTCATGAAAGTTACGTCGCATGGAATCCAGGGAGAGCAAGCTAATTGGATTCAAAATTGGCTCAATAGTAGGAAGCACAGGGTGATGGTTGAAGGTTGTTTCTCAGACTGGAGGCCTGTGACTAGTGGTGTGCCACAGGGGTTGGTGCTGGAACCTTTGTTCTTTGCTTTTTTCCATAAACAATCTGGATGTGAATATACAAGGCACAATTAGTAAGTTTGCAGATTATACAAAATTAGGAGGTATTGTTTTTAGCAAAGAAGGCTATCAAAAATTGCAGAGGGATCTTGATCAGATGGGAAAGAGGGCTGAGGATTGGAAAATGCAATTCAATAAATAAGTGTGAGGTGTTGCACTTTGGAAAGTCAAACCAAGATAGGACTTACCAGTTAATGGTAAGGTCCTGAGGAGGGTTGTGGAATAGAGGAACCTAGGAGTTCGTTGAAAGCAGCGTCACAGGTGGACAGGGTGGTGAAGAAGGCATTTAGCATGCTGGCCTTCAATCAGTCAAGGCAATGAGTACAGGAGTTGGGATGTTATGTTATAGTTGTATAAAAGTAATTGATGAGGCCGCACTTGGAGTATTGTGTACAATAGTGGGCACAGTGTTATCAGAAAGACATAGTTAAACTGGAAAGTGTGCAAAGATTTACGAGGATGCTGCCAGGACTAGTCAGCCTGAGTTATAGGGAGAGGTTGGCCAGGATAGGACTTTATTCCTTGGAATGTAAGAGAATGAGGGGTGACCTTATTGAGGTGTATAAAAACATGAGGGGCATAGATAGGATGAATGCATATAGTCTTTTCCCCCAGGGATGGGGATTTGAAAACTAGAGGGCAAAGATTTAAGAAGGACCTGAGGGGCAACTTCTTCATGCAGAGAGTGGTAGGTATATGGAATAGGCTGCCGGAGAAAGTGGTTGAGGCAGGTACAATACCAACTCTTAAAGAATCATTTAAATAGGTAAATGGATGAGAAGGGTTTAGAAGGATACAGACCAAATGCAGTTTGGGCCAAAGGGCCCACTTCCAATGCTGTATTACTCTATGACTCTGTCAGTCATGATGTTAAGAAAGCCAGCTTATTTTCTCCTACCAGTTTCTGTAAATGGGTTTATTTTAAACCAACTCAGACTTCATAATTCATGAACCAGCCTTTGTGACTTCTGTGAAGTAGTGAAGGAACCTGAAGTCTGTAAAACCAAATGATGTAGAAACAATAGTAAGCCATTTACCCTATTGAGCGTGCTCCGTTATTTGATAAGATCCCGGTTGATCTGATAAACCTTAACCTCAGTTTCTTACTTTATCCCCCAAAAACCCTTGATTCCCTTACTGATTAGAACACCTCTGTCTCAACAGCCTTGTGCGGGAAAGAAATCCACAGATTCATTACCCTCGAAGAAAATAGCTCATCTGTTTTAAATGAGCAGCCCCTATTGTGAGATTATGCCCACTGTTCATAGACTACCATAAGGAGAAACAACTTCTCCACTTCTACCTTATCAAGTCTCTTAAGAATTGTGCATTTTTCATTCTCCTAAATTCAAGTGAAGGACAGGTTCACTCTCCCTTCAGAAGACAGTTCATCCATACCCAGGACCAGCTTAGTGAGCCTTCTCTAGACTGCCTCAAATGCTAGTATATCTTTCCTTTGAAAAGGGGCCCAAAACAGTTCACAGTATTCCAACTGTGGTCCGACTAGTGCAAAGATCAGGGAACCGAATGATTCAGGAAACAAAAGAAAACAGTCCATCGAATTCAGAGGACTGTTGCTAAATTGAACACTTCCCCTCGGCATATCCCACCCCTCCTATAAACACTGCTGTGTTTTGTCAGAGATTTTTAGAACGGGTTAGAGTTTTAAATAGTAGAGTCATGTGTCAATAGTTCACTGCTGTTTACTTGCGAGTAGAATTTATTCATTTATAACAAAGACGGCAATTCTCGTTAAGTAGAAGAACCTAGGCTGTGTTTTCTATTAGCCTGGGTCTATCCGACGATTGGTGTACATTGGACTTTTTCAGCGACATCTCAGGGAATAGGGAAAGATTTCTAATATGCTACCCCAGTGAGGCATAGCAGCATACAAACTTTTAGCCTCCCTTGGGGTGTGTTACCATTTACTGGTCCATGCAACGTTACTAACCTTTACCCTCTTTGGTCTTGGCTTTGCGGATGGGGAGCACTGGTGGCACAGGAAGGCTCCCTGATGAGGCACCAGCAGTGGACACCTGTTCCACCACAGCTGCAACTGCTGCTGCTGCAGCAGCCGCTGCCACTGCAGCTGCTGACCCCTTGAACGGACTGTTGGCGCTGAACTCTCGCCACTTGGCACCAAGGATTGTCATCATCTTGGACATTGGAATCTTCGGGTTCTTCTTGGCAATGAGTGGCCTAGAGTTTCAAAACACATTTGCATGAATGCACACAGTGTTAAAAAATTACAATACACAAAATTACAATTCAGGATGTCTCAAAGTAGTCAACAGTCTATCACTACTCATGAATCAGCACTCAATGTTGGAAATGTGGCTGCTAGTTTGCACACAGCAAGCTCCCACAGATAGTAATGTGATACTTGCTACATATTTTCTCTCATGTTGGTCAAAGGTTGGACATACAGTCTTATCCCATGCAGTGCAGAAAGATCTTTTAGGTCCACCAGGAGGCAAACAGGACCTCTTTTAACACTTCATCCAAAAGATAGCATCTCTATATAAAGCAGATGGGCAGTCAGCAGGTGCTCACATCTCCAGAGTGCAGCATTCTGACAGTTCAAAAGTTTAAGCTGGCACATAAATGACACAGAATCAGGCCATTCAGCCATTGTCAATTCTTCACTCCCCTCACCCCATCTCACTCAATCTGCATAGAAACATAGTACAGAAGCAGCCCTTAAGTCCACAGAGTCTGCACTGCCAAAAATATACTAGTACCTACACTAGTCCCACTTTCCAACACTAGACCCATAAGCCTTGAATGTTACAACATTTCAAGTGTTTGTTCAAGTACTTTTAAAAAGGTTGGAGGGGTTTCCCACCTCAACCACCCTCCCAAGCAGCACATTCCACTTGTCATCACCCTGTGGGTGAAAACATCTTTCCTCAAATTCCCCGTAAACCACATGGCTTTCACTTTAACATTATGTTCCTTTGTTATTGACCCTTCAGCTAAAGAGAACAGCTGCTTTCATTTGCCCTGTCCATGCACCTCAATCTTATACACCACCATCTTATACCTTCCAGCGCAATCACGTCCTTCCTACAGTGTGGTGGACAGAGCAGTGCACAGTACTCCAGCTGTGGCCTAACCAAAGTTCTGCACAGCTCCAACATGACCTCCCCACTTTTATAATCTACGCCACAACTGAAAAGGAAACCATCCCATCTGCCTTCTTAACTACCCTAACCTTTCTTATCACCTTCAAGGATCTGAGGGCAAGTGTGCCAAAATCCCTCTATCCCCAAATTTCCCAATGTCCTGGCATTCATCACAGACTCCTTTGTCTTGTTCCTTCTTCCAAAGTACATCGCATCACATTTAACAGAGTTAAATTCCATCTGCCATTGATCTCCCGATCTGACCAATTGTGTACATCCTCCTGTAACCTAACACCTTCCTCCTCACCAATCATTAGGCCAATCTTTGTGGCAATCGCAAACTTACTTTCCCCCACAGTCTCATCTACATAATTTGTGAATATCACAAGCAAGGACCCAACACTGACTTGCGTATGCCACTACACACAAACAGCCTGCTACTACGACCGGGTGTTTTCTGTCACAGCCAATCTGGATCCAGCGACTTTTTAACCCTCTGTTTCTTTCCCATGTGTGACCTTGTCAAAGGCTTTTCAAATCTATACAAATTACACCAACAGCCCTACCCTCATCTAAACACTGTCTCCTCCTTGAAGAATTCCACTAGATTTATTAGGCATATTTATTAGACATAACCACCCTCTGTTAAACCTATACTGACTATCACTGAACAAACCTTATCTCTCTAAATGGAGATTAATTTCCTCCTTCACTATTTTCTCTAATAGTTTCCCTACCACTGATGTTAGAGTCACTGGTCCATAGCTTTCTAGTCTCTACAAACCTTCTGTCTGCCAGTACCTCTCTTGCAGCCAGAGACTGATTTGAAAATTTGGGCCAGGGGCACTATAATTTCCTCCCTCATGTCCCCCAGCAGCCCAGAATACACCTAATCTGGATCTGGTGATTTGTCCTTCAAATTTAAATCCATCAAAATCTCCAATACCTCCTTACTTCTTGTATTAACCTGCTCAAGAAATTCATGGCCCATCGTCTTGAAGTCTGTACTTGCAGCCTCCTTCTCCCGAGTAAAGGCAGATGTGACGTACTCCCTTAACACACTACCAAATGTGCTCCAGCTTCATGCAGAGATTGGCCCCTTTGTCCCTAATAAAGCTTGGTCTTTTCTGGTTATATTTTTCCCCTTGACAGACTTGTAGAATAATTTGGGATTCTCACTAATCTTATATGACAGTATTTCCTCACACTCCCTCTTTGCTTTCCCAATTGCTTTCTTGAGCATTTGTTATACTCCCTCTAAGGCCTCTGTTGTTTTGAAGGGCCTCCCTTATGTCCTTTTTCCTTTTTATCTAGTTCTGAATATTCCTAGACATCCGTGGTTCCCAGGGCTTGTTGCTACTATATTTCACTCTTAAAAACAAAACACGTTGCACTTGTATTTCCCCAATACCTTTTTGAATACCTTACATGGTTCTGTTGTCGTTTCACCCTCAAGTGCCTGTTCCCAGTCTACTTTGACCACCTGCCTTATTTTAGTAAAATCCATCTTACCTGAATCTAGCCTTTATTTGGAGATCAGCTTTCTCTTTCCATAAGGCCATAACATACGAGAGCAGAATTATACTATTCAGCCCAGTGAGTCTGTGCCACCATTTGAACACAGCTAATATGTTTCTCAATTCCCATTCTTCTGCATTCCCTCCATAACCCTTGATCCCTTTAATAATCAAAAGCATATCGCTGCCTTAAATACACTGATTTGACCTCCAGCGTTCTGCAGCAATGAGTTCCATCAAAATAACCATCCTCTGGCTGAACAGATTTCTCATTTCAGTTCTAAAGGGTCATCCCTTCACTGAGGATATGCCGTTGGCTCCCAGCCTCTCCTACTAGTGGAAACATCTCCACGTCTACTCTATCCAGGTCTCTCAGTATTATGTAAGTTTCAGTCAGATCCATTCCTCAACCTTCTAAATTCCATCAAGCAGAGACCTCAACCACCCATCATATGACAAGCCCTTCATTCTCAGGTTCATTCTTGTAAACCTCCTATGGACCTTTCTAACAACAGCACATCCTTCCTTGGAATGGAGGCTTTAAACCGCTCTCAATATTTCAAATGAGGTCAGACCAGAGCCTTGCACACCTGAGGATGTAAATCTCTACTCTTGTATTTCAGTCGTCCTCTTGAAATGAATGCTGACAGTGCATCTGCCTTCCTTACTGCCAGCCAAGCCTTCACATGCTTCAGATTTCCAAAGCCTTTCCCCATGCAGAAAATAGTCTATGCTTTTTCAAAAAAACTTGATTCATAGGATGAGGGTGACACTGGCTAGGCCTGCATTTATTAACCATCACTAATTGCCTAGAGGGCAATTAAACGAGTCAACCATGAGAGAGTCTGGGATCAATGTAGGCCAGACCAGGTAAGAATGGCAGTTTCCTCCCCTAAAGGGTATGAATGAACGAGATGGGGTTTTTGATGTGGTTGGTTGGCTCACTCAACTGGTTCGTTGTTCCGCAAATGTTTCATTATCCTGCTGGGTAACTTCAGTGCAGCCTCCAATGAAGCACCGCTGTGTTTTCCCCACCTGTCATTCAAACTCGAGTCCACCGAAATGGATTACCTCACTTCGGTTTTCCTTCACAAATGGGGTCGAGCTCTGCATGTTTATTGATGGCTTTCTTAGTGGAGCATCAGGCTTCTAGGAACTCCCGTGCTGGTCTCTGCTTCACTTGTCCCAGGATCCTGGCGTTGTCCCAATCGAATTGCTGGATTTCCTTATCCACGTGGATGGAGAGGAGTGAGTATTGGCCGTGTCTCTTCGTTACCAATTGATGTTAGTGTACCCTAGTGGTTAATTTCCTATCTGCTGTCCAATGTAATGTTTGTTGCAGTCTCTTCAGGGAATCTTGTATATGACGTTGGTCCTGTCCATAGTGGGTAGTGGGTCTTTGGTCCGGGTGAGCAGTTGGCGTAGGGTTGATGTGGATTTGTGTGCTACTCTGATGCCCAGTGGTCACAGGAGTAGTGATCAGTTCAGATGTGTTCCTGATGTAAGGTAGCTGGATGAATGTGTCAGGGCGTGTAGTATCTTCCTGGTGTAGTTCGTGTAATAGGCATCTTCTGACCCAGTTTTTTTGGGTATCCATTGTCTTTGAATACTTGGAAGAGGTACTCTTCTTCTTTCTGGCATAGTTCTGTGCTGCTGCAATGTGTTGTTGCCCATTTAAATAACGTTCTCACGCAACTTTGTGTGTTAGGGTGGTTGCTGTTGAAGTTCAGTACTTGGTCAGTGTTTGTGGCTTTCCTGTGTACCTTTGTTAGGAATTCCCCATTGGTCCTGCATTCCATCATTATGTCCAGGAATGGGAGCTGTTTGTTCTTCTCCGGTGAATCTGATCCCCGTGAGGGTGTGGTTTATTTAGTTCACGTGTCTCCTCTAGCTTGCTCCGTTTAATAATGACAAAGGCGTCATCCACGTAGCGTATCCATAGTTTTGGTTGGATTAGCAGAAGGGCTATGCTTTCAAGTCTCTCATCACTGTTTCAGCTATTAGTCCAGAGATAAGTGATCCCACGGGTGTCCCGCTGATCTGTTCATATTTTTGGTTGTTAAAGGTGAAGTGGATGGTAAGGCATAGGTCCAGTAGCTTCAGCATGTTGTCTGTGGAAATGGTGTCACTGGAGTCTTGTTCTTGTTTTAGTACTGTTGTCAGTGTTTCTCTTGCTAGTGGTATGTCTATCGATGCGAATAGGGCAGTAATGTCAAATGATACCATAGAACATAGAACATTACAGCACAGTACAGGCCCTTCGGCCCTCGATGTTGCGCCGACCTGTGAAACCAATCTGAAGCCCATCTAACCTAAACTATTCCATTATCATCCATATGTTTATCCAATGATCATTTAAATGCCCTTAAAGTGGGCGAGTCTACTATTTTTGCAGGCAGGGCATTCCACGCCCTTACTACTCTGAGTAAAGAACCTACCTCTGACATCTGTCGTATATCTATCACCCCTCAATTTAAAGCTATGTCCCCTCGTGCTAGCCATCACCATCCGAGGAAAAAGGCTCCCACTGTCCACCCTATCTAATCCTCTGATCATCTTGTATGTCTCTATCAAGTCACCTCTTAACCTTCTTCTCTCCAACGAAAACAGCCTCAAGTCCCTCAGCCTTTCCTCATAAGACCTTCCCTCCATACCAGGCAACATCCTGGTAAATCTCCTCTGCACCCTTTCCAATGCTTCCACATCCTTCCTATAATGCGGTGACCAGAACTGTACGCAATACTCCAAGTGCGGCCGCACCAGAGTTTTGTACAGCTGCAACATGACCTCATGGCTCCGAAACTCAATCCCTCTACCAATAAAACCTAACATACTGTACGACTTCTTAACAACGCTATCAACCTGGGTGGCAGCTTTCAGTGATCTATGCACATGGACACCGAGATCTTTCTGCTCATCCACACTACCAAGAATCTTACCATTAGCCCAGTACTCTGTATTCCTGTTATTCCTTCCAAAGTGAATCACCTCACACTTTTCCGCATTAAACTCCATTTGCCACCTCTCAGCCCAGCTCTGCAGCTTATCTATGTCCCTCTGTAACCTGCAACATCCTTCCACACTATCCACAACCCCAACTTTGGTGTCATCCGCAAATTTACTAACCCATCCTTCTATACCCTCATCCAGGTCATTTATAAAAATGACAAACAGCAG